CCACACATACATCTATGGCTCTGCAGTCTGAACTAGAGAAGGTTTTTTTTTGCTGACATCATTTTGAAAATGGGTCAAAAAGGACCAATCTGAGGGAGGTACTCCCCTCTCCTGAGCTGTTCTCTTCCAGAGTCTTTTCTGTCTAATACATCCTAGTTCATTGATTTAAGGACTGTTGATTTGCTTCCACTGGCATGGCACATCATTCCCACCCCAGCCTTTCAGTAAGAAACACAGGAATGACATTTTTGGCATAGAGAATTGAATGAGCAGCAGCCCCAGGCTTTCCTTTAGCCTGTTTATCTCTGCTCCCAGATTGATCCATTCAGCAAGTAAATCAGCCAGCAGTATCTACCATGTACTCAGCATAAAAGTATGTTGTCTTATTTTAAATCCTTATAGAGTATATAATATTTTCATATTATGAATGATGCAATTTAATGCAAAAGAGATTGAGGCCCTGTCCAGAAGTTAGGGAGCTACTGGTACTCCTAACTCCTTGTTTAAATTGTGACAATGCTAGGTCAGGGAAACTCACGGTAGCATAATTTTAATGCTTAAATGGTAATATTTAATTGAAATATTTCACATATGTTTTTCTGTCATAGGAACATTTTAAGAGTGCCCATTCCTTACTGAGGTCTCTTTATTAAAATCTCAAAGATTAAATCTTAAAATGCAGCTATAACTTGTGCACAAGTTCAAGAATATGGGAATGTCTTAAGTGCAATGAGTAAATTGAAGTTGTGGGAAATGGTATTTGTTAGGCATGATCAGAAACGAATAAGCATTTGATACATTTGATTTGTATTGTTTTGAGGGGTAAAGGGAAGTCTGGATGTATATAGGTCCGCTTATTAGCCAGTGAATGCTCAGTATAGGGTAAAGGTTAATCATTTGTTAGAATAACACTGAGCCAGTGTCTCTAAATGTGAATGTAGCAGAAATAATCAGTTACTTGAGGAATATCTTCATAGTGATGGCAAGGTTTCACACTTTGAATCTCATTCAGATAGAGTTTCCATTTGGAGAACTCACCCCTAGTGCTAACCAGGGTATACCTGTGTGTGAGGAGTCATCCTAATCTCGATAATGAGTTTGAAGCCAGTGTGGAATATATGAGACTGTCTTAATAAATACATAAGTAAAAACTAAAACCTCAAATTTTCTTGATCATCTTCCATAAAGGCCAGGATTCTCATACTAACAATTAATCATTTGTTAGTGCACACTGGTTTCTGTGTACTCTATTTATATATCTTAACAACATACACAGTATTTAGTATTCCTTCACAAAAGGTTCCATGCTATAATTTTGTTGTTCATATAGTCACTTTGTACTTCTCAAAATTGCTTCTGTTTTTCTGGTTTGGACTATTTTTATGTTTTAGTTCATTTTTCTTTTTGATAATTTTAGATTTATAAATCAAGTTCCAGAATAACTGGTTAAGGACCTCCTACATAGTACTTACTTAATATTTACCAAGTGTTTATTTTTTGTTATTCTTATTTTTCCACTCTGAAATTTTCTACTTGTGCATATTATTTTTAGGGCTGTGTAAGTATAAATTAGAGGCATTTTGTCTAGTCACTTCTAATCATTTAAGATAGTATATTCTGACCACAATATAGTTATAAAAATCAGAAAGTTTAACTGTGATAAAAATACATTTTTCTGCCTCAATCTGTAAATTTCATCAGTTCTTGTATATCCAGTAGTTGTCACTGTAATAGAAATTAACTTTGAAACAAATTGGCCAGTGTGTGTGTGTGTGTGTGTGTGTGTGTGTGTGTGTGTGTGTGTGTGTGTGCATGCTCGAATGTGCTTGTGTATGCATACTGTGTTTGTTCCTTGATCTAGATATTTTAAAGGTAAAGGCCAGGTTTTTCTTCTTCAGAGTAGCCTTCTACTTGGGTTTTGCAGATTAGATTAGATTAATTCTTGTTATATATTTTGAAAGAAATCCCACAGAAATGGTAGTGTGTTCTCAGAACTTCGAGTCTAGAATCACTTGATGTTCAGAGTAGTTTCTACTAGGTTTCTCCCTTCAGTTATTTTCTTCTATAAATCATACGTCATTTGTTAGGACTAATTTTTAGATGGTAAAATACATATTTCTCATTAATTTAAAAATGTCATTTTAAAGATTTTCTTTTTAAAGTGTGTGTGTGTGTGTGTGTGTGTGTGTGTGTGTGTGTGTGTGTGTATTTGTGCACTTGAGTGCTGTCTCTACAGAGGTCACAGGAGGATGCCAGATGCCCTGGACCTGGAGTTATAGGCTGTTCTGAGCTGCTTGATATAGGTGCTGGGAACCATGCAAAAGCAGTGTATTTATTAATCAGTGTTCTCTAATATATTCATATATGTATGAATTCATTAGACTGGCTTACAGGCTGTGGTCTAGGTAGTCCAATAATGACTGTCTCCCAGTGGAAAGGCCAAGGATCTAGCTGTTCAGTTCATGAACTGGATGTCTTAGCAGTCCCAGTCTGGTGCTGGAGTCCCAGAGGATTCTGTGGAGTTTCTGTCTTCAGCTTACTTTGGAATCCCAAAGATTCTGATGCCAGCGGAGGAATGCCTAAGCAACAGGGTAGATGAACTTGCTAGTGAGACTGAAGGCAAGCAGGCAAAAAGCAAAAGCTTCCTTCTTCTCTGTCCTTAGATGTAGGCTGCCACCAGCAGGTGTGGCCCAGATTTAGAGTGGATCAACCCACTTCAAATGATCCAAACAAGAAAACCCTCACAGGTAGGCCCTCCCTGGGTTTTAATTGGTTCCAGCTATAGTCAGGGCAACAACCAAGACGAGCCATTAGGAGCAATGTGTGCTTTTAGCCACTGAGCAAGCTCTCTAGCCCTCCCCCGTTATCTGACCTTGGAGTTTGTTCCTGTTTCCAGCCTGAGATGTCGAAAGCTTAGTTTGTTTGCTGTAGCCGCTTACGTTTTCTAAAGTACTTAAGGTCATAAACCTTTCTTCACAAAACCAAAAAGACTTTGTTGGTGGTGATGGTAGGGTACTGCAGCACGTGTGGAGGTCAGAGAGCAGCTTGTGGGACTGATTCTCTCCTTCCACCTTTGCATGGGCTCTGGGCATTGAACTCAGGCTGTCAGCCTTGTACAAGCTCCTCTACCCACGGAGCCATTGGACTGGCCAAACTTTTCTTTTAAATAAAATTAATTACACTCTTTATTTGTGTGCTGTGGGATGTCTTTCAGTATGCTGTTAATATGTGTTGCTCTGATTGGTTGATAAATAAAGCTGCTTTGGCCTATGGGAAGGCAGCTTAGAGGCAGGTAGCAAATCTAAGGAGAGAGACAGGAAGAAGAAAGGCAGAGGCAGGACAGATGCCAGCCTCTGCCAAAGGAGAAGCAAGATGCCCACAGACCGGTAAAGCCACAGAATACATGGCAAAACACAGATTAATAGAAATGGGTTAATTTAAAATATAAGAGCTATCTAGCAAGAAGCCTGACCCATAGGCCATATAGTTTACAAGTAATAAAAGCCTCTGTGTGTTTACTTGGAATCAAGCAGCCGCAGGACCCAGAAGGGGGAGATTTGTACCAACCACAGGGCCAGGCAGGACCGGAGAAACCTCCGACTGTGTGTGTGTGTGTGTGTGTGTGTGTGTGTGTGTGTGTGTATGTGGGCACGCCTGTGTGGTGGTCAGAGGACAGTGTGTGGGATTTGGTTCTCTCCTTCCACCATGTCTGTCCTAGGGGTCAGACTTAGTTTGTCAGACTGGTAACAAGTGCTTTTACCTGCTGAGCCGTCTCACTGGCCTCCGACCTTTCATACTGTATTCCTTTGCCACATTGTCTAGGAGTGCTTACAGTAAGATTTGGGATGAAGGGAAATGCTAAGTGGGAACCTTTTAAAATTAACCATCTGTTACTAGGAAACTGGCAAGAAGAACTTGGATGGTATTTTAAGGATGTCAAAATCAGTCATTAAAAATACTTCTGGGGACGGGAAATGGCTTTAGTGGGTAAAGTATTTGCTGGGCAAGCATGAGGACCTGAGTTCATATCCCCAGCCCCCGGGGATTAAAGCCGGGTATGGGGCCGTGCGTGCCTATAACCCAAGTGCTGGGAGGATGGAGGCAGGTAGGTCCTAGGAGTTTGCTTACCAGCCAATATAGTAAGACAGTGAGCTCCAGATTCACTGAGTGGCCCTGTCTCTAAAATAAGAGGGACCTAGGCATAGTGGTGTATGCCTTTAATTCCAGCATTCAGGAGGATGAGGCAGGTGGATCTCTAGACACTAACCTCGTGTACATAGAGAGTTCCAGGCCAGCCAAAATTACAGAGTGCTCTGCCTAAAAAATAAAAAACCCTAAAAGACAGAGAGCAATATGGGAAGAAACCCCGAGCCAACCCCAGCCTCTACGTGTGCATACATAAAGCAAGTGCACTGTCAGCCATGCACATAGATAGTGTGCTGTCTCTCACTTTTCTTCCCCACCCGCCTTTTTTAAAAAGAAAAGAAAAATGGGTTGTTTGGGGGTCAGATGACTAAGCGGGTAGAGTGCACAAGCATGGAGAGCTCACTCTGGATCTCCATACCCAACAAAAGCCAAGCAAAGCAGCAGCGATTAACCCTAGCACGGGGCTTGGAGAAGGCAGATCCAGGGGCTCATTGGCCAGTCAGTCTAAATGGAGAGCAGGCTTCAGGTTCAGGAGAGTCCCTGTTTCAGAAATAACACCGAGACGTGATTGAAGAAAGCTGTTCTGACATCAACGCCAGACCTACCCACATATACACGCACCCCCATTCACCCACCCCACCCCACCCCACACAATAAAGCCACTGACTTAAAAAGAATACTGGTTTAAATGATCATGATTAGCACACTCATGAATATAATGCATGAGAAATTACAAATTTGGTTTATTTCTCTGGTGTGATGGGTCCTTGAAGCTTTGTTGTAAAAGGACAATTATCTCAAGCTTTGTTGTAAATGGACAACTATCTCAGAGCACGTTTTTACTGTCCTTTCAGGAGCCGCGGCAGTGGCGTGGAGCAATCCCGTGTCCAGCTGGTTGAGTGCTATGCTCCACTGCTTTGGTGGAGGAATTTTGTCCTGTGTACTGCTTGCAGAGCCTCCAGTGAAGTTCCTTACAAACCACACGAATATTTTACTGGCTTCTTCAATCTGGTAAGTTGCCCCTAGGTTGCACTGTGAGGGGTTTTAAGAATTCTTGTATAGATGGTGGTAACACAGCTCCTTTTCCTTCAAGGTTTTTTAAGTCCTTAAGTTCACGCATGTGCAGTGAAGGAACACAGCGGTGCCCAAGGTTTTAAGTGCAAATTTACCTCTTGATAATTGTTCTCACAGGTTTTTGTGGGAACATTTTAATGTGAGAGAACATGAAGTACTGGTCCAAATATTTTATTTTGTGAAACAAACTCTAACACATAGAATTACGACATGATAAAAACTTAAATATGAACAACTAAACAGAAAGTCCAAGTGATTATGGCTTATGTATAATTTTCTTGTCTTCCTCTTTGTTGGATTTTATTTATTTATTTAATTTGTTTGTTTGTTGATAGAGAGATAGATAGATTGATTCAATGTCTCATTGTGTAGCCCTGGCTGTCCTGAAACTCAGTATGTAGACCAGGCTGTCCTTGAACTCATAGAGATCCACTTACCTCTGCCTCCCGAGTGCTGGGGCTAAAGGTATACACCACCACGTCCAGCTATTGGATTATTTAAAGACCTCTGACATCTTTAAAGATTAATTTGATACTTTTGAAGTGAAGGACAAAATGTTGGTAGGAACTGACTTGGATTCTTCTACATCCAAATTCGGATATTCGGAATAGGATTGACTAAGTTAAAAGTATTGAATATTGATAAAATCAGTGTGCTTTGTTTTATTTAGACTAAACTATGCTTTCTATTAAAAACCCTATCAATTTAATACATATCAGGAACATTGAGAATTCTTTTTTTTTGTTTGTTTGTTTGTTTTGTTTTTTTTTTTTTTTTTGAGACAGGGTTTCTCTATGTAGCCCTGGCTGTCCTGGGACTCAAGAGATCCGCCTGCCTCTGCCTCCCGAGTGCTGGGATTAAAGGTGTGTGCCACCACCGCCCGGCTTAGAATTTATTTTTACTGGGGCTGGTGAGATGGCTCAGTGGGTAAAGGGGCTAGGTGGACAAGCCTGGCCACCTGAATTGTCGCCCCAGCACTGGCATCAAGGCGGGAGGAGAGAGTCAGCCACACAAACTGCCCTCTTGACTCCACTTGTCCATTGTGGCGTGCAGCGCCCCCATCATGCAAGTGCAAACAATAATAAATATATTTAAAATTCATTTTTATTATAATAATTTAAATATTCTTAAGTACTTATATAAACAGGGATATTATAAATAATAGTAGTAGTGGTGAAGTAGTAGTGGGAACCTGTGGCTGTGGAAAGTAGGTGGGGTAGAATTATTCACTTGCTAGTAATTATTGAATTAGTATTATATATCAGCTAAAATTCATTTTCATATTTAATCATTAGTCCTGTGAAGTAGCTATTGTAATTTTTTTCCTGACAAAACCTTTTGTTGGTGACATTAAGAGAAAAAAAATGACTTAAATACTATGAAACACTATGTTACATCTCTCTAATCTATGGCTAAATTATGAATTATTCTATAACTATTTGAAACATCTAATAAACATAAGCTATCTAATCAGTTATGAAATGACTTAGTGCATTGAACTATTCTGCATGATGACCCTCCTCCATATGAACAGGATTCCAGGTCTTACTGTGTTTTTGTTTTTTTTAAATGCAATGTAGTTTGTGGAATTAGGATTTTTTTTTTTTCTACTAACAGTGATAACAGACCGGTTTCACTCTCAAGTAGATGGTATCTAAGATCATGACTCAAACTATCAAATGAGAGAGAAGAGAATATACTACTTTAAACTCAGACAGGAAAGGCTTACAGTGGTTCTACTGAAGGCTGCTGCTTGCTTTCATTAAGAACACACTTTCTCTCTTTAATAGTTTATGTTTTTCAGCTGTGGAAAGTAGGTGGCATGGAGTTATTCATTTGCTAGCTAGTATCTATTGAATTAATATTATATATTAGGTAAATTATTTTCATACTTAACGATGAGCTATTGTAATTAGTTTTTTAAAAAGATTTATTTATTTTTATTTTATGTGGATGGGTGTTTTGTTTGCATGTATGTATTGTACCATGTGTATGCCTGGTGCCTTGAGAGTCCACAAAAAGGCTTTGGATACCCTGGAACTGAAATAACAGAGTTGTGAGCCACCATGTGGGTGCTGAGAATTGAATCCAGGTCCTCTGTAACAGCAGCCACTGTTCTAAACTCCTGAGATGTCTCTTCAGCCCCTTAAAAAAAAAAACAAAAAAAAAAAAACTAGCTTACACATATCAAATTTCTTTGTGGTATTCTCGTTCGTGCTCAGGCTTGGCTGATTCTCCCGATCCTTCCTGACCTCCCTGGTCCTCTTCATTATCCTTCAGACCCCAGTATTCCGCCTTCCATTTTTGTATCCAATGTGTCCTGCCCACTGTCCTACCAGGGGTAGCTGTTGTTACTGCTGTTTGACAGCAAGGACGCCGAGACATGGGACAACTGCTGTAATTGTCATATCTAGTAGGTGGCAGGGCTAGAATCAGAACAAGTGTGACCTTAGAGCCTCCATGTGTGACAGCTACAGTATCTCATAGACTTGCTTAATCATATCACAGTATCGTCTTCCAGAACACTTCTAAAGGACTTCCATTTCTATATTATTTTAGAAGGATACTAACATTTTGGTTTTATAAATGTTGTTTAAATGCTGAAACTATGTAAGAACTAAGACAGCCAGATTCTGTACTTCCTGTCTCTCCTGTTTCTGGTCTTAAATACTGAGCCTCCCATGTCTGGCCTGGACTTTTAGTAATTTCCTACATGGGCTAGTTGCTTCTTTCATTACCCCCTAAATCTATTCTAATGATAAAGTGATTATCTTAAAATATGTTATAGTATGTCACTCGTGTGTGCAGTAATTAGGAACAAATCCTGAGTTTGACCATGGCCTGTACATCCCTACAAAGGCTCCCTCTGTTTTCTTTGCTGTTATGTGTAACCGGTCTGTCTCCTACTCCATTCTAGCACACTGAACTTGCTGCTTGAACACATAAGGTGTCCTGCCTCTGGGACTTTGTTCTTCCTTCGTTTCTCTGTCTCCTCCAACCCCAGACTGCTGATGTTACCTTCCCTCACAGACCTTCTGTGACTGTCATATCCTCCTCCTCCTCTGTTTCCTTCTCAGATTCATTAACATCGCAGATGTTACCAGTTGGCTTTTTAACAATGCTGGTTTGTTTCACTTCTAGAAAACATCATATCAGAGCAGAAGCCTCACTTTGTTAATTGTGCCACTAAGAACTGTTCAGATCAGTAGATATACCTTCGAAAGAGTGGATTGCTGTGTACCGTGATTTCTGGATTTGAGTAGCAAGGAACTATAGATCTTGATTAGTTGATCCAGCAAATGAAATACAATTTCATGCCTATGAATGTATGCCTTTACATTTAAAAGGTATGTTAGAAGTGGAAAGAACGTATTTTTCAGCACACACATACAGGGGTAATAGACACTTCTGACTTCCTGGTCTTTGGTAAGCCCAGTATACGACTCATAGAAAAGCAGGGTGGTTGATTGGTTCTTTTACTTGCTGATCTCCTGCAAAGATGATTAGTTTTTAAAAGGATGTTTTGTGAGATTCTATAGATTTCGGTTTTTGTCATGATTTGAAGCTAATTGTCCCATCTTTGGCCAGTGGGAGACTTTAGAGGAACCCCCAGCCCTGGGATTAGCATCCTTGTTTCTGGTACTATAAGACTCTTACACTTCTTCTGGAATTAGTTTTAGTTTTAGGTTTTTTTTTTTTTTTTGTTAAAGTGAGAAATAGTTTTCTAAGCCTCACTCAGAGCATTAAAGGTGTTGCTAGGGCATCCACTGAGCTGAGTTCAGGCAAAGAAAAAGAAAATGACTCTAGTTCATATTGATGTGTATTTCTAATTCAAATTCAGTACTATGGAGTTTTTATTTATCTTATCTGTTACATATGTAGTACTTAATTTATCGACATACAAAGAATTCTGTTTTTTATTGGGCAAAGGATATAACAAAATTAGAATATTCTGACATTGCTAGTGAATTTTATTCTGTTTTTTGCTCATGTACATTTAGTCATATCCATCTTTAAAACAAGGGTGTGTTTTACACTGTTGTAGTTTCATGGCTAGTACGCCAGTCTTCCCTACTTAGTTTTCATTCAGTCTTATTTTTTGTTCAGTATATACTTGGTGAACATCACCAGTTTTTATCCCTGTCTCTTATTTTGGCTCTTTGAAGCTCTGGGAAATCCTGTGAGGTGAGGACTATTTTATCCTTAACAGATCATTGAGGTTAATGACTTATACAAGGTATCAGAGATTTTAGGTAGCTGGAGCTCTGGTTTAAACCTTGGCTATTTAATCTTCTAGTTGGTGCATAAGCAGAAAATTGCTTTGAATTCTGGAAATAGGAATGTTGGCCTTACCGTCTCTTAAATATGAAAAATGATGCTGGCTTTCACGCAGTATGTTTTGCTATTTTAATATTAGAAGTTTTAACATTTAGAATAAAGTTTTTTGACTGTGCTTCTTCCGACTTTTAGAGTCAATTGATTTGGGGAATCATATAGCAAGGAAGGTCATCTTTAACACTGCAGCTACTCAGTGCGCACATGGCACATGTTTGGAGGTTAGCGCCATCTACTGGTAAAGACAAACAAGACCTTGGTTCTGTCAGTATATAGCTAGCTACTGTCCCAACACCCAACACAACATATAGTTTCATTCAAGTTTTCTTTTTAAAAATCTATTTATGGGGACAGTACATATTTTATAATTTTTCCATGCATTGATTTTATGTCTCAGAATGTTTTCCTTAAACTCCCAAGCACACTGTAGTGAGATTACATTTAGATGAGGGGATACACGAGCCATCGTTTTATAGGTGTTTCCAAGACCTATCGATGAAAGTCCTTACTGCAGAGCAGAGCAGAGCTGTTGCATAAGGCAACCATGGCTACAGTGTGTGGTTTGGCTCAGTTAAGTGACGCTGCCTTTGACAGAAAAGGAGAACTGACAGTAGATGAAGCAATGTTCTTAATGATTAGCCCTCCTCTGTGCCCAGCCTCTGGCTGTAACCTAAGTTATGCTCCCATCTTAAAACCTGTCTAGACTGGTTTAGCTTGCATTTGTTGGCTGTATCCTGTTTTAGACTAACTTCTACTCTGTGTCATTTTTCTCTTTCTGTTAATCCGACCTACATCACTTAAGAGCACGTGAGAACTCCATGGTTAGCTTTTCTCTCCGCTGGGTTTTGTTTTTTAATTTTTTTTTTTAGTGCTTTCAAGGTAAAGGTATTTTAGATGTTGGAAACTTAAAGTGGAATTATCCTCTTTACAGAAGAGACCTGCTGTTTAATTAATGACTGTTGGTCCACTAATTCATCAGAGAAATGTCACATAGCTAGCTTGTGTCACAGAACAAGTGGGGTCATTTGTCGGACGTGCTTATTTGTAAGTCTTGAGCATGACAAAGAGCTGTTCCTTTACTCCATGGCAGCTCAAGTGGGCACAGGGTTTCGTTAACATGTGAGATCGTTGTAGCTGTACTTTAGAAAAGTGGATAAAACTTAGGACTCAGAAGTAACAATAATTATAAATTATAGACTATATGTTATAATGTCACATAGTTGGCTGTCAAGTCCAGAATTGCTGTTGTAGTAATCGGTTTTCACACATGTTAAAGATAGAGTTAGGGAATGCAGATAGAGTCATTGTAATACGTTTTTTCATCTTCTTTTGAGTATGTTCTTCCTAGCATGAATTACTGCTGAAGCAAAACCACAGTGTCTGTTCTTAATCTAAGATTGTTTACTTTTATTAAGAATATATATACAATTTATTACTTAAGTGTATATGCTTTTTCTGTCCATTGTCTAACTTCCTGTAAATCATTTATACATATAAAGACTTTGAAAAGATCCTATGTCCATGGAAAAATTTTAAACTATAAGATCTTATCTCAGATGACATAAAATCGTCTCTAGATACTTCATTTCTTTCTCCCAGATTCTGTAATTTTCCAGTGATTCTTTGCTATGTTTTGTGTTTTCCCCCTAGAGTGAGTGCTAATGAATGATTCAGAGCTATTTTTCATTGTGCTGAGTTTTTGGTTAGAGGACAGCTGATAAGTTGCAGGATTCCTGTCATCCAGCGACCAGTGTAATCTACTTAGGAGCACTCTAGCCTTTATTTTATATTGTAGAGAACAATGTCTAAAGAGCATTTTTAGGCTTGACAGCCAGCTGCTTCAGTTGCCTAGAGCTCCTGCTTGTCTGAGCTGAGATGAAATGGAACAGACCTTCCAGGGCCATGGGTATAGTGGTGTTGGAGTGGGACTTTGAATAATAATAATAATAATAATAATAATAATAATAATAATAATAATAAGGAATTAGCGAGTAAGATGAAGAAGGGATGTGGAGGCTGACCAAACTGTTGCTTCCCATGTTAGGTTTCTGGAGCAGTGTGTTGGCAAATATTTCATATTCCGTGAATACACTGGAGGTTTGTGAGTTTATGACTCATGAATTGAAGTAAAATTAACTATTGCTTTCAAAAGAGCCCCAACACTTTTCCCTGCCGAGTGTTCTACATCACCCCATTAGAAGATCTGCTGTGCTTTATGCATGGAAACTGTCTCTTAGGAATGGAAGGAAGAAACAATATAGTTTCTAGTAAATACCACTGATAGTATTTGAGGGGGTGCTGAAAACCAAATGAAGTTTAAAACTGCGATTCTCCAGAGAATGGGTGAGTTATTCTTAAACTAGCAACAACTTCATTGGCTAAAACTAAGCATATTCGCCAAATTAAAGACTGAGCTTCATATTCTTTCTGCTGCATGAAAATACATTTTCCATAACATAGGCCCATTTCCTTGTGAGCTGTCTCTGTCTTTGCACAGATTTTAACTTATGCCCTAAGCTAAGGGACACAGGTCAAGATGTTAGCAGAGATGAAATGCAACCTCTGTTCATTTACCAAAAGGCTCCTTTGTTTGGTTCCTTTTCCCTAAGAACAAAGACACTAAGTGTCCGTGGCCTGTACCTGCTGGAACTGATGGTGCACTTGCTTCCTTTTGGTAATAAATTATGTACCTGTTTGTTCTAAAACTGTATGAATAAGTTAAAAACTCTATGGAGTATTGCAAAGTGTATGACTCCTTTCCCTCATGACACAGACAGATTATATATGTTTTGTGTGAATTAAAAAACAACCTGGTGTCCAGTCTACTTTTTTTGAAAAATGTTCCAAGCTTTATGGATAATCACACTCTTTGTGTTATGCTGTGTCGCTAGTGATAATGATTTAGATGTTCACTTCTAGTCTTCTGATATTATTTACACATTAAAATATTTAAATTTTAATTTCAGGTATATTGTATTTTTTTGCCCACGTGACCTAGTTTCCCAGGGCTATTCATATCTACCTATTCAGCTCCTGGCTGCGGGAATGAAGGAAGTGACCAGAACTTGGAAAATAGTAGGTGGAGTCACACATGCTAATAGCTATTACAAAAATGGCTGGATAGTCATGATAGCTATTGGATGGGCCCGAGGTAATATTAATACTATGTGTTCATACGTATTCTGTTATTGATGTACTGTAATTCTGAATACTTCTCTGCTTGCAGGAGTGGGGATCACATACTTTAATAACTCTTTTTGGAAAGTGAAAACTTTGTCTTTTTTAGCTACTAAAGTTAATTTAAAAGTTACTTACATGAGAATTAGTGATCACCCCTAATTTTGAGCCTGATGGTCTTGTAAAGTTCCTTATAAATAATTGCTTTAGGTTTTCTTGAACCATATGCAATCATAATTAGTTATTTTGCCACAAATGAAACAGTTTAATGAGAACTTTTGTGGGTCATGTAAATTAACTAGCATTGCTGAGGCTGAGCGTGGTGGTGCACACCTGTAATCTGAGTACTTGGGAGGCTGAGGCAGGAGGTCACAAGTTTGAAATCAGGTCGAGCTATACAGTGATTTCTAGGCCATCCTAGGCTACATAGAAAGACCCTGTCTAAAAATGAAAACAAATTGCTTTATATTCCTTTCTTGTGAGTTGTTAGAAGTAGCAAATATTCATATTCCCATTGTTCTAATTGCTAATATAATTATTTTATATTCTTTCGACTAGGTAGACTATATAGTTGAGGATGACCTTGAACTTGTGACCATACTGCCTCTACCTCCTGAGTGCTGGGATCAGAGGAAAGTGCTGCCATGCCTGGTTCATGCATTGTCAGGGATTGATACATGCTAGGCAAGTGTTTTTACCAACGGGGCTGTGTCACTAACCCTGGTGTTGTATATGTAAGCATCGAACATATTTCTGGAGCCTCTGTTACAGTATGCTGCACCTAAAACTAACCATATCAAGGAAAGAAATATTAAGAGAGGATCTTACTTTTCACAAAACAGTTCTATATATGCATCTCTGTGCTTGAGATCTCAGCTTTAACTGCAGATCACAGTAAGACAGGCGGTTGTCAAGCTGGGGAGAGAGAATGCAGTTGTCTCAGATCTCGATACACAGAAGACTACTTTTTCTTCCTCTCAAGAATTCTGTTTTGGTAATCTTGTATTTTAAAGCAAGAGGGGAAAGTCTGACTTCCCCTGCCATGTATTTTCTTAATAAAACTGGCTAAATATTTTTATTTCTTTCTCTTCTTCTCTTTTTTAGGTGCAGGGGGTGTTATTGTCACATCTTGTGAACAGTTGCTAAAAGGAGATTGGAAACCAAAAGGTGATGAGTGGCTGAAGATGTCCTTGTAAGTGGTATATATCATACTGAGAGCTGGGCCTACAGTAGTGGCTACTACCCAGCTTCTTTGAAAAGAACAGTTTTCGAACTGTGTAGGTGGCTGAAATGTACCCGAGAAATAAATGGCAATCGAAATGGGAAGAAAACCAGCAGATTCATTCTAAGAGTTTACTTTCCCAGGTGAACTCCTAAAGTCAACATCAGTTTTCTGTGGATTCCCCTCCTTTATAAAACAGCTGGGAGGCTAGAGAGCTGGCTCAATGGTTAAGATCACTTGCTGTTCTTACAGAGGACCCAGGTTCAGCTCCTGGCACCAAGGTGATGTCTCAAACTTTTTGTGACTCAGTTCCAATGGATCTGATGGCTTCTTCTGACCCCTGTGAGCACCAGGTACACAGTATATACATGCATGCAAAGCACCCATATACATAACAATGACAAAACCTACTTAATGTGCAACATGAACTTGTTCTCCTCATATGCAGATCCTAGCTTTCTGTATGTATGATGTGTAGGTATGAGCAGAGAGTAAGTCCTGAAACAAGGAAGAGGCCCAAGTAGGTTTGAGGAAGGAGTGGGGAGCTTGATAGGCCGGTCTCATAGGCTACCGTTGAAGTCCAGAGGACAGAGCCATGCTGTGTAAAATTAGAGCATGGAGCCTGCAGCTGTCGCCCTGGATCCAGTGGAACTCCATCTGCTGGATGTTTGAGATGTCTTGGTGCCAGGGATCTCTCCTTTCCCTTTGGAAGGGGAATGTCTGTGACTGTAGCCAGCCTCTGTTCCACCACTGTGCTTTGGAAGGAGACATGATATAATTTTCCAGGGCGTCTCAATCTCCATAACAAATCTACTACTTTGATTTAAATCTTCCTTAAATCCTCTCCAGTGTCCTTTCCCAATTATCTACAAACTGCTTATTTTTTTAGAGTTACTCTTTAAGAAAACATAATCCAAAATGGTCAGTCAGTGTGTATGTCAAAGCCTTTTTCTTAGTGAGCTGCTTTAGTGTAGGAACCAAGTGGTTAGAACACCAAAAGAACAACAAGATAAATCAGATTCCACAGGGGTGGGGAGGGGGTGGGCCTCATGTGTATGTATATGTGTGTGTGTTTTGTAGACAAATTTCTAAACAATCTTATTAAGTAAGAAACACAGAGCCAAATACAGGGGTGAAAGCCATAGAGATCAGAGAAAGTGATAGTCACCAGCTAACCTTAGCTCACCATGTCACTGTAGCTTCTCAAGAGAACCTCTTCCTGTCTAACCTGCGCCTTTATTGCCTTGCTGTTCTGCCCTCTCATTGGCTCTTAGCTCAGCCACCTCACTTCCACGTCATTGCTTGTCTGTACAGACCTCCAGGTCTCTATGGTTGGTACAGGGATTAAAGGCATGGGTCACCATGCTTGGTTGTGTGTGTCCTTGAACACACAGAGCTCTGCCTGCCATGTGATCAGATTAAGGGTATGTGCTATCACCGCCTGACTTTTGTTTATGGATGACTATCTATGTCCTCTGATCTCTGGGCAAACTTTATTTATTAATATACAAATAAAATATCACATTTTAGTACAAATAAAATATCACCACATGTGTTCACATGTGTGGTTGCATATGCATACTAGTGTATGTTTAGTATGTGGAATTCAGATGTTTTTAGAGATATGTCTCCACCGTGTGTGTTGAAGTGAGGTCTTTCATGAACATGGAGCTCACTGTTTCAGGCATCCTGGCTAGCCAGCCTGCCCCAGGGATTTCCCTGTCTGCCTCCTGCACACTGGGATTGCTGGTGGCCTTTGTGGGTTCTAGGGATCCAGTGTGGCCTTCACACTGTACAGCAAGGGCCTCCTTACCCACTGCCATCTTCACAACCCCTCATTTGCCTTTTATACTTTTAAATGTTCAATTTTGTGTACATTGTATACCATAGTTATACATATATAAACTAACAAGTACATTAATATTAATAATTGTCTTAAAATAATAAAAACTATAGGAATATACAATAAAAGTTGAGGAATCACTATTCTAAGACATGATTGTTATTCATATTATTGTATGAAGTCTGGATCTTATACTGTTTAGAACCCAGTCCTTAGTTTATAATACTTTAGTAACCTTTAAATAATAAACTGGCTTATAAAAATATGTTTTCATGGTTGCAGTGTAGCATTCTCATAGTTTATAGTTTATCCGAGGTCTTTACTGAGATACATAAGTACATGATAAGTGTGTAAGATAAAAATACTGCTGTTGATTTGGTAGGGTAGCAGTATGGCAGTTTCATAATTTCGGCATGAATACTTAAGGTATTAGCAAAGAGTGACCTGCTGTGCTCAAGGTGATAAACTAGAGCTGGCTCACAGGGTCTCACTATGTAGCCTAGGCCAGCCTTGAACTCACAGATATCCACCTGCCTTGCCTCCCAAGAACTGGGACTAAAGGTGTGCCACCATGCCTAGCTTATACTGCTTTCTGAGAACGACTGTGTACATCTTACTCGCCATTCTCTACAGCAGCCTGAAATTGACCAGTGGTAGCATTTATGCCATGGAACAGGAAAGGCTTTCTCCCACTTCTCTCATCTGTCTTGGGGGCTTGTTTATCATGGCTGGTTTTTCAGGACTAATTCTAGATTTGCATGGTGGGGCATGAAACCTTCAAGTTCTTTAAAAAAAAATGTTAGATGGACAAATACATTTCTGAAATACTGCACTATGGAAACATAATGGACATTCTGAAAAGGCTTGGGCCTGAACGGTTAGCTCAGTGGTGAAGAACTCTTAGTACTTGTCTTATTGCTGATCAAACACCGTGACCAAAGAAACTTGGGGAGGAAAGAGTTTATTTGGCTAACACTTCCACAATACTGTACATCATCAAAGGAAGTCAGAACAGACCTCAAATAGGACAGGAATGTGAAGGCAGAAGCTGATGCAGAGGCCATGGAGGTGAGCTGCTTACTGGCTTGCTTCCTCCTGGCTTGTTCGGCTTGGTTTCTTATAGAACCCAGGACCACCAGCCCCTGAATGGCACCACCCACATTGGGCTGGGCCCTCCCCCATCAATCACTAACTGAGAAAATGCCCTCTAGCTGGATCTCAAGGAGACATTTTCTCAGCTGAGTTTCCCTCCTTTCAGATAGTTCTAGCTTGTGTTGTTGACATAGAGCTAGCCAGCACAGTGCGCGCACACACACACACACACACACACACACACACACACACACACACAGTCGGTAAAAACAACCTCTTAATTCTTTGTGTTATGAGAAAAGGTTTTAAAGTTTATATAACTCAGCATTTCGGAGACTTTAAAAATGTATTCACACAGCTCATTTTGTGTTAATCTGTTATTAGTCCATTCCTTCAGTTAATGTTTACAGAGCACTCTGAAAAAATTGTAGACAGAGTACGTTTGTCACTGACTGAAAATGTTATTTCCTTTCAGCCCCTCCAAGGTGACGCTGCTGGGGTCAATCATCTTCACTTTCCAGCAGACCAAGCATCTGGCAGTGTCAAAGCATGATCTCATGTTCCTTTACACCTTCTTTCTCGTGACCATAAAGGTAAGAGGGCTCCAGGTGTCCACCAGTCAGCATTACAAATTCAGTGTAAGCCTTTCCCTTGGATGGGGTCCTTCAGATAAGCTAGTACCAACAACACTTGCTTTTTTTTTTAATTATTGAATATAAAAAGATGAATTTAGGAGAGTTTGCTCCATGCGTCAGAATTTTCAGGAGCTCTTCTGTGGTTCTTCATTTGTTGTTTGGAGATGTTTACGGATGGACAGAATAGGCAGGTGCTTTGTTGGGAGCCAGAGAGGAGTGGAGGGAGGGAGGAAATCAGGGGCTGTATAGACAGGCCTGCCTTGTTTGCAAAATTGGGGTCCAGTTTAAATTGATAGCACTTTTTGTTTTTGTGAAAAGTCAGTATGTTCTTAAGTTTGGAGGTGGAGGAAGTCTCATGTAATTACAGTTATGCTTGCTCATTCTGGTTAAATATAGAAGAGCTAATTTTTTCCCACCTCTACCTATGGTTCTCTTCTTTCTTGAGAGAAATCTGTGAAATATCTTCCTTTTCCTCCTTTCCTTCCTTCATCTCTCCTCTGCAATTTCCTGTTCTTCTTTTTGCCCAGAACTCATTCATGTTCAGCCAGTTTCATTAAAGGAGAAATCACATACTTTTATAATTCTCTCAAATACTTTATGATTGATAAAATCCAAGCCACAGAGAAACAAAATAATTGGGAAAGATTATCATCAGAGGAGAAAGCTCTTGAGCATTGTAGATACACAGACTTATGTTGAAATGGAGGCTCTGCAATTTTGAACAAGTCTGTGTTTCTTGAACTAAGTAAGATTACACATGTCCCAAGGGATACGTGGCTTCCGGCATTGTCTATATAAAGTCGTATTATAAGTGTGATGTATTTTCTACCATTAATTGATCTCAATGGTAATTAATTTTAAACATGTTAAATGGAAATGTATCATTGGTTAAAATTCACATAGGCTTACTTTTTTTTTTTATAATTGTTTATGTGTAAGGGTGTTTTGCCTGCATATATATATATTTGTGTACCATGCATGTGTCTGGTGTCCGGTGAGACCATAAAAGGATGTTAGACATTTGTGAGCTGCCATGTGGGGCTGGGAATTAAACCCAGGTCCTTTAGGAGAGCAGCCAGTGCTCTTAACTTCTGAGCCATCTCTCCAGCCTTCTGATGTAAGAAAGTTGTTAAGATAAGACTTTTGTCTGTTTTGAGCCATGTCAAATTCGTATCCCCACTCCATCAGAGAATACTTGAAAGAACTTTGAGAAACGTATTACTTCTTGGCTGCTTTCTAGAAGAAGTTTCAGTGAAATAGTCACTGTGAAATAGAATAAAGAACTGACCAATAATGATTAAAACTGTAAAGAAGCTCAGAGTTTTTAAATTAAGCCATGTGTGATGACCTTGGTAAGAGCAGTTTCAAAGGTTGGTAGAACTGTAAAATGATTTTTATTAATTGAGATAAATAAAAGGAAGTGAAGATGAGGAGTATAAAGGTTTTAAAGGAACTTGGGGGTGTGTAAACAGGAGCATCCTGGGGGAGCAGTTTGGTAACAGCAGACCCTTGCAGACACAGCTGTCCTGTGGCCGGTTAACTCCACTGTAGGTACGACCAGCAGCCATGTCCCAGGGGTGCAGACACCAGCTTTATCCAGGTCACCTAAAAGTCCATGTAACAAAGGACTAATTAATGTGTATTTAAAAATACTTAGGAATGAGTACTTCTAGATTTTTTTAGAAATCACCTTTATAGTAGTATAATTTATGTGTAATAAGGTCTATTCAGTTCAGGGAGTACAGCTCCCAGTGGTCTGCAGTTCCAGTCCCAGGCGACCCGTGCCCTCTGTCAGCCTCCGCAGGCACCAAGCACACACATGGTGCACAGACATGCATGCAGACAGAACACCTGCATGTGCAAATAAACTAAAATAAATACATTCACTTTTTAGAAAAGGTTATGGGTGCCTGACCAGTGGCTGCACACTGGAGTACATGGCCCTCCCTTCCAGCACCCATTACCTTCATATAAATCCTCATCAGGTTGTCGGTTCAGTCTCTATGAGCTCCTGTGAGCCCAGGTTAGTTGATTCCCTGGGTTTTCTTGGGGTGCCCTTGACCCCTCTGGGTCCTACATTCCTTTCTCCCCTTCTTCTGCAGAATTCCCTGAACTCTTCCTAATGTTTGACTGTGGGCCTCTGCATCTGTTTGCATCAGCTGCTGGGTGAAGCCTCTCTAATGGTGATTGGACTAGGCACCAATTTATGAGTATAGCAGAATACCATTAGGAATCATTAATCATTTCACTGACTTTTTTTTTTTTTTTTTCCATTTGTGTTTGGCTCTTTCCTAGGTCTCTGGGCTGTTCCACCTCTGGGTTCTGGCCCTCCAGGCAGTGTCAGGATTGAGCTCCCTCTCATGGTATGGGCCTCAAACTGGACCAGTCAGTGGTTTGACACTCCCACAATTTTGGGTCACCTTTACCCCAGCACATCTTGTCAGGACAGATTGTAGGTCGAAGATTTTGTGGCTGGGCTGGTGTCCCAGTCATTCCACTAGAAGTGTTGCCTGGTTACAGGAGACAGCCAGGTTCAGGCTCTATATCTCTCATTGCTAGGAGTCTTCGCTAGAGTCACACTCATAGATTCCTGGGAGTTTCTGTTGCACTAGGTTTCTAGCTCTTCCCAGAGATGCCCCTGATTCTAGTTGTCTCTCCCAGTACTCTCTCCATCCTCCTCTGACCCGATCCTTCCTGTTCCCATCCCCATACGCCACCCCCATCCAGACCTCTCTCCCTGTCTGCCTGTGATATCTATTCTATTTCCTCTTCAAGTGATGTTCATGAGCTGTCCTTGTTACTTAGCTTCTCTGGGTGGACCATAGCATGGTTATCTTTTTACTTTACAGCTAGTATCCACCTATAAGTGAGTACATACCATGTTTATCTTTCTGAGTCTTGGTTACTTTACTCAGGATGATCTTTTCTAGTTCCATCCATTTGCCTGCAAATTTCCTGATGTCATTTTTAATAGCTGTGTAATACTCCATTGTATAAAAGTATCACATTTTCTTTATCCATTTTTCAGTTGAGGGGCATCTAGGTTGTTTCCACGTTCTTGCTATTATGAATAAAGCTGCTAGGAACATAGTTGAGTAAGTATCCTTGTGGTATGATTGGGCATTCCTTGAGTATGTGCCCAAGAGTGGTATAGCTGGGTCTTGAAATAGATCAATTCCCATTTTTCTGAGAAACTGCCATAATGATTTCTAAAGTGGTTGTACAAGTTTTCACTCCCACCAGCAATGGAAGGTGTTCCCCTTGCTCCACATCCTCTCCAACATAGGCTGTCACTTGTGTTTTTGCTTTTAGCCATTTTGAAAGGTGTAAGATGAAATCTCAGAGTCATTTTGATTTGCATTTCTTTGATGGCTAATGATGTTGAACATTTATTTAAGCCATTTATGATTCTTCTATTGAGAATTTTCTGTTTAGATCTATGCCCCATTTTTTAATTGGATTATTTGGTTTGTTGATGTCTATTTTTTTTAGTTCTTTATATATTTTGGATATCAGTCCTGTCAGATGTGGAGTTGGTGAAGATCTTTTCCCATTCTGTAGGCTGCCGTTTTGTATTATTGACAGTGTCCTTTGCCTTACAGAAGCTTTTCAGTTTCAGGAGATACCACTTATTAATTGTTGATCTTAGTGCCTGCATGACTGGTGATCTATTCAGGAAGTTGTTCAAAGCTGTTCCCCACTTTCTCTTCTGTCAGGTTCAGTGTATCTGGTTTTATGTTGAGGTCTTTGATCTACTTGGACTTGTGTTTTGTGCAGGGTGATAGACTTGGATCTATTTGCAGTCTTCTATATGTTGACATCCAGTTATGCTAGCACCATTAGTTGAAGCTGCTTTCTTTTTTCCATTGTATAATTTTGGCTTCTTTATCAAAAATCAAGTGTCCATTAGTGTGTGGATTTACTTCTGGGTCTTCAATTCGATTCCATTGATCCACTTGTCTGTGTTTATGCTAATACCATGTGGCTTTTATTACTTTAGCCCTGTAGTAGTGCTTAAAATCAAGGACAATGATATCTCTGGAATTTTTTTTTATTGTACAGGATTGTTTTTGCTATGCTGGTTTTCTTTTCCATATGAAGTAATGTATTTGCAATGAATCTGTAGATTGCTTTTAGTAAGACTGCCATTTTTACTATGTCAATCCTATCTGTCCATGAGCATGGGAGATTATTCCATCTTCTGATATCTTCTCCAATTTCTTTCTTAAAAGACTTGAAGTTTTGCCGGGCAGTGGTGGCGCACGCCTTTAATCCCAGCACTCGGGAGGCAGAGGCAGGCGGATCTCTGTGAGTTCGAGGCCAGCCTGGGCTACCAAGTGAGTTCCAGGAAAGGCACAAAGCTACACAGAGAAACCCTGCCTCGAAAAACCAAAAAAAAAAAAAAAAAAAAAAGACTTGAAGTTTTTTTTTGGTTTTTTTGAGACAGGGTTTCTCTGTGTAGCTTTGCGCCTTTCCTGGAATTCCCTTTGTAGCCCAGGCTGGCCTTGAACTCACAGAGATCCGCCTGGCTCTGCCTCCCGAGTGCTGGGATTAAAGGCATGCGCCACCACCGCCCGGCTAGATTTGAAGTTCTTATCATATAGGTATTTCATTTGCTTGGTTAGAGTTACACCAAAGTATTTTATATTATCTGTGGCTATTGTGAACGATGTTGTTTCTGTTATTTCTTTCTCAGCTCATTTATTGTTTGTATATAGGAGGGCTACTGATGCTTTTTGAGTAAATTTTATATCCAGCCACTTTGCTGAAGGTGTTTTTCAGCTGTAGGAGTTCCCTGGCAGAATTTTTGGGGTCATTTATGTATACTGTCATATCATCTGCAAATAAAGATATTTTGACTTCTTCCTTTCCACTTTGTATTCTTTTGATCCCCTTCAGTTGTCTTATTGCTCTAGCTAGAACTTTGAGTACTATATTGAATAGATAAGGAGAGAGTGGTCAGCCTTGTCTTGTCCCTGATTTTAGTGGAATCGCTTTAGGTTTCTCTACATTTAATTTGATGATGGCCATTGGTTTGCTGTAAATTGCCTTTATTATGTTAACTATGTCCCTTGTATTCCTGATCTCTCCAATACTTTTATCATGAAGGGGTGTTGGATTTTGTCAAAGGCTTTTTCAGCATCTAATGAGATGCTCATGTTTTTTTTTTTTCTCTTTCTTTTAGTTTTTTTATATTATGGATTACATTGACAGATTTTTGTATGTTGAACCATCCCTGCATCTCTGGGATGAAGCCCACTTGGTCATGGTGGATGATATTTTTGATATGTTCTTGAATTCAGTTTGCAAGTTTTTTTTTTTCTTCTGTCAATGTTTATGAGAGAAGTTGGTCTGTAATTCTCTTTCTTTGTTGAGTCTTTGTGTGGTTTTAGGTATTAGGGTGACTGTGGCCTCATGAAATGAATTTGGTAATGTTCCTTCTATTTCTATTTTGTGGGAATAATTTGGGGAGTATTGGTGTTATCTCTTCTTTCAAAGTCTGGTAGAAATCTGTGCTAAAACCATCTGGCCCTGGGCTTTTTTTGGTTGGGAGACTTTTAATGACTGCTTCTATTTCCTTGGGGGTTATAGGTCTATTTAAATTGTTTATTTGATCTTGATTTAGCCATGGTAAGTGGTATCTATTGAGAAAATTGTCCATTTCTTTTACATTTTCCAATTTTGTGAAGTACAAGTTTTTGAAGTATGACCTAATGAGTCTTTGGATTTTCTTAGTGTCTGTTGTTATGTCCCTCTTTTTGTTTCTCATTTTGTTAATTTGGATATTCTCTCTCTGCCTTTTAGTTAGTTTGCATAAAGGTTTGTCTACTTGCTAATTTCCTGAAAGAACCTACTCTTTGTCTCATTGATGCTTTGTAATGTTCTCTGTGTTTCTATTTTATTGATTTCAGCCCTGATTTTGATTATTTCCTTCCTTCTATTCCTCCTAGGTGAGTTTGCTTCTGTTTTTTTAGAGTTTTCAGTTGTACTGTTAAGTCCCTAGCATGAGATCTCTCCAAATTTTTTATGAAGGCATCAAGTGCTATGAATATTCCTTTAGCACCATTTTCATAGTGTCCCATAAGTTTGGGTTTGTTGTGTATTCATTTTCATTGAATTCCTAGAAGTCTTTAATTTCTTTATTTCTTCCTTGACCCAGTGGCGACTCAGTAGAGAGTTGTTCAGTTTCCATGAGTTTGTAGGCTTTCTCTTGTTTCTGTTGTTGTTGAAATCTAGCATTAATCGATGGTGGTCTGATAGGATACAGGGGGTTATTCCAATTCTCTTGTGTCTGTTAAGACTTGCTTTGTGACCAAGAATATTGTGAGTTTTGGAGAAGGTTCCATGAGGTGCTAAGAAGAAAATATATTTTGTTGTGTTTAGGTGAAATGTTCTGTAGACATCTGTTAGGTCCATTTGAGTCTTAATATCTGTTAGTTCCCTTGTTTCTCTGTTAAGTTTGTGTCTGGGTGACCTGTCCATTAGTGAGAGTGGGGTGTTGAAGTCTCCCACTATTAATGTGTGGAGTTTGAGGTGTGATTTAATCTATAATGGTGTTTCTTTTACAAATGCCCTTGCATATGAGGTATAGATGTTCAGAATTGAGATGTCATCTTGGTGGATTTTTCCTTTAATGAGTTTGAAATGTCCTTCCCATCTCGTTTGATTAATTTTTGTTTGAAGTCTATTTTGTTAGGTATTAGGATAGCTATACCAGCATGCTTCTTAGGTCCATTTGATTGGAAAATCTTTTTCCTACCCTTTACTCTCAGGTTTGATGTTGAGGTGTGTATGCAGCAGAAGGATGGATTCTGTTTTTACATCCATTCTGTTAGCCTGTGTCTTTTTTTTTTTTTTTTTTTAGTCCATTGATATTGAGAGATATTAATGACCAGTGATTGTTAATTCCTGTTATTTTGTTGTGGTGGTGGTTCTGTGTGTGTGTGTGTTTCCCTTCTTGGGATTTTGCTGGTATGAGATTATCTATTGCCTGTGTTTTTATAGATGTAGTTAACTTCCTTGGGTTGGCATTTTCCTTCTAGTACCTTCTGTAGGACTGGATTTGTGGATAAATATCTTTAAAGTTGACTTTGTCATGAAATATCTTGTTTTCTCCATCTAATGTGATGGAAGTTTATCAGTATAGTAGTACAGTAGTCTGGGCTGGCATCCATGGTCTCTTAGAGTCTGTAAGACATCTATCCAAGTTCTTCCAGCTTTTAGAGTCTCAGTTAAGAAGTTGGGTATAATTTTAATAGGTCTGCCTTTATATGATACTTGGCCTTTTTCCTTTGCAGCCTTTAATATTCTTCCTTTGTTCTGTATGTTTAGTTTTGATTATTATGTGATGTGGGGATTTGCTTTTCTGAGACAATGTGTTTGGTGTTCTGTAAGCTTCTTGTATCTTTATAGGCATGTCCTTCAGTTAGGGAAATTTTCTTCTATGATTTTTGAATATATTTTATGTGTTTTTAAGCTGAGATTCTTCTTCTTCTATTCCTGTTATTCTTGGGTTTGATCTTTTCATAGTGTCCCAGATTTTCTGGATGTTTTGTGTGAGGAGTTTCTTAGATTCTCTTCCATATTTTGTGTTCTTCTGGTGATGCTTGTGTCTGTAGTTCCTATTCCCTTACCCAGATTTTCCTTTTCCAAAATTTTTCCAGTTTGTGTTTTCTTTATTGCTACTATTTCTGTTTTCAGGTCTTGGATAGTTTCTTTCACATGTTTGTTTTTATTTCTTGGCTTTCTTGGCATTCTTTAAGGGATTTATTGATTTCCTTCAATTTTTTAGTTTTATTTTTCTTGATTTCTTTAAGGGACTTTTTCATTTCCTCAAGACTGCTATCATCTTCATAAAGTTGTTTTTAAGGATGTTTTCTTGTGCTCATGCTGCATTGGAATATTCAGGTCTTGATAATATTCAGGTAAGATAGCTAGGCTCTGGTGGTGCCATATTGCCCTGGCTGTTGCTGATTCTATTCTCACACTGGAGTTTAGGCTTCTGGGTTTCGGATGATTAGGTATAGGTCCTGATTTCTGAATTTGTTTTTGTTGGATGGGTGTTTTGTTCCTTGGTTTCTGTTTCCTCTTTGGTCTTCTAATCGTTGTGGCCTGGATCTGGTGGCCTGTGTGACCTCTGATCTAGTAGGGAGTCTCTGTCCAAGTTGGGAGTTGGCCTTCTGGAGGTTAGCTTGGCCTTTGGTGCAGGGGGGGTCTCTGTTCTTCTGACAGGTATGGCCTACAGCAGGAGTCACCTGGGTTTGGGCAAGGCCTGGCCTTGACGATGGCAGTGAGGAGGGAGGGACAGAGAGTGGAATGAGTTTTGGGGAGCCGAATCTAGGGAGTGGGGCAGTCAAGGGGGCAGGCAGGCCACCCACGCCTATTGTTCTCATTGGTGTGGCCTGTACCTGAGCAGGGAGGAGTCCTCACCTGTCTGTTCTTGAGATGCACATAAACTCTTTTTGTAACTTCCCAGCCCCTAGATTATGTCACATATGAGACTATTCTTTGTGTCATTTATCCCCAAGAAAGTGGATTGTGTAGGGGACTATTTTAGGAATGTAATTCCGAAAATTTCTAGTTTGATTCCTTTCTGTTATCTGGAAGAACTGACTGTTAGTCTTAGGGCTTTAAAACTATGTTGGATACCAGAGTTCTCCCAGTAGATACATTTGGGGCCAGTCTAATTTCTCAGTCACATCTGAACATTTCTGGGCCATGTGATTTGCTAGGTAAAGGATTGAAAGCACTCTTTGGTCCACATTCTGATGTCTTCATTCTGCATACAATTAATTCCAACGGAAAAGATGTGTGGGGAGAAGCCATCTGCAGTTTCTCTTAGGGAAATAGTCTGCAACCATGGACAATAGTGTGTGGTTAAGTAGTGACTGAACCCAAAATCTGTATTGCACCCTGTTTACCACTTAACTATCCTTTTAATTTGGGACAAGTTAACTACCTGTCAGAGCTGAGCGTGACTCTGCTCCTCTCTGTGGTGAAGGCAGCAGTAATTGTTGCATTAAACTGAAAGTGGAGATGAGTATAAAGTATTTACCACAGTTCTGATCCAAGCCAGATGTATAGTAATAACAGCTGTATTGGCTGCTGATATAGACTGTATATTATATCTCATTTCTTTTGACTTCTTTTTCTGTCTGTCTGTCTGTCTATTTATCTACCCATTCACCTCCCTCCCTCCCTCCCTCCCTCCCTCTCTCCTCCCTTCCTCTCTTCCTCTCTCCCTCCCTCCTTCCTCCCTTTCTTTCTTTTTATAGCAATGCCATACTTCATTTGATGTACAAGGTACATCAAAATGTACCTGGTATTACTTTTGACTCCCTTTGCCCATTATTAATTTTTCTGTCTCAGTTTTTGAGAAACAGAAAGTGTTTGTACTGAAATTCAAAATTTTTTCCCTAGGTAACTATGATGGTGACAAAGGATTCCACTGTGACTCTTGCTCCCTTTGAGGATACCTTGAGCCGGATGCTGTTTGGCTGGCAGCAGCAGTTTTCAATGAGTGAAAAGCAAACGGAATCAAAACCGTCTTCCAATGGTACTACCTCGTCAGCATCCAAGCCCACCATAGAGGATCTGGATGATGCTAAGAGGCTTGCCAAGAAAGAAGACTGACGATTTTGCCTGAGCTTAGGAGGCAAACGGGGAAGAGTTACTTATCTGAGTTAGAGTGTGGTCGTGTTTCTACGTAAATGACGTGATGTAGGCTTCTCTGGGAGGATAGGGGAGACAGGAAGGAAGAGATGCTTTGCTTCAGGTACACCGCTCTGTCGATAGTAACTCTTGGGGTCACGAGTGTATCATGTGAATTTATTTTTCTGGTGTAAGAGATTCTCATAATTATTTGAATAGTTTTATATAGATAAAACGATACTTTTTTAAATGGTAGAAAACTTTTGTTCACTTGTTACTACAAAATTCTAAGACTTTCACACTTATAAAATTCAGTATTTTTGTCACTTTTTGAATGATTCTAATTGTGTTTTAATTCTGTAGAATTAAACTTTTACTTTATATTTCCAGTATAATTCCTGTATATAGAGGACAGTTCCTATTTAAATTTGAACATGGAGAACTTTTGCTAACTAATTTTTAACTGAAAATAAACCGATAGTGTATATTTGGTGTATACATTTGTTTTTATATATCTTACTCACATTAAAAATACCTGAAATTTAATTTATTTTAAAGTATTATTTTTCAGTGAGACCACACTGTTAATTTGAGTCTCAGTTTGAAGTTTTTTCATGCTCTTGTTTTAAGAACTACTTTCTCCTCAGGAAAGCAGGGTTACAATTTGTGTGTATCTTTCTTTTTGCAACAACAGTCTCACTCTGTAGCCTAGACTGGCCTCAATCTCCTCCTACCTCGGCCTCCCAAGTGCTGGGATTATGAGCACAGGCCACCATGCCAGGCCAGGGTGTCAAATGTCCTATGTTCCTCCTGACTCAGTTGGTCTGAATATGCATGTCTCAGTGACTTCAATAAAAAGTATTGTCATGGCTGACAATGTCTCCTGCCCCTCTCTTCTGTGACCACTGCTTCAGGTGTTCACTTGACTGTCTGTTGTGGGTTTGCACATGGTGTTTTTGTTGAATCGACATGGACACGTATTGCTAGTTTTATCTTCAGTGAAAACCACTTTTATGTGAACATGCTCATCTCCCATGAGAACTGCCTGTGCACATTTGATTTCAACCACAGAACCTAACCTCACATGCTAGACTACTTGAATGAAGTAATACAACATGAAATCTGGTTTCTCATCGACAAAATAAAAAGAAAACAAGAAAATGTATTATATGATAGATTTATTTGCTTTATTTGGTGTTAAAGTCCTGTTATAACATTACACTTCTGTGGTCTGACTTTTTATACCAAGAATAGGAACCTGTCACCTATATTCGGTATTTCTGATTGGCTAAGAAACACTTAAATGATATTCAAGATGTAAAGTTTTCCTTTTTAATTTTTAACAAATATGCACACTAGCAGGCTCTATACTTTTACTTGCTTAAGAAAAAGATTTTGGTTGGGGCACTTTTGATAACCTTGGTATTAGAAAATGTTTATTTTTAATATTGTGACAGAAAGCACAGAATTGAATTCTGCATTATATATTTGATAATCTGTAGTCAGGAACCTTGCAAAATGAACATGTTATTATTGGTCGGTTCTGAAGTTTGAATTTAGCTGTAGTTAAAACAGTAAGAATCTTGTTTTACATTTGTGTTAAAAAACAAATTCATTAAAATAAGTACTTTCGCACTAGAGGAGTATTCCTTGTTTTTCTTTTGTGTTGTTTTGAGGAAGGAGTTCAGAGTCCTGTGTTGCTTTGACTCTATGATACACTTAGTGACCACAGTCTGAAGGGGACCTTCCTGCCAACTGCATCAGGCTATGCAAATATCCTAGAGCCCTCAATTCTTAGCTGTACTGGAGAATGTGGATTAGGCTTGAAACTTCCCACCTGGAATCTGCTCAGGTGACTATTGGAGACCAGCTCCTTACTCCTTAACTACCAAGAAGCATGGCTGTGGTTCATAGGCCCACATCACACAGCCCAGTCAGAGGTGACCCCGAATGACCTGGTAGGCCTTAAAAAATAAAAAGTAGAGAGGAGATAGGAAAGTCAAGAACATGGGCTCCAGACTGCTGTGTAACACGAGTTTTAAAAGGTCTTATTAATTAAAAAAAAACAAAAAACAAAAAAACCAAAACAAAACAAAAAACCCGGGCCAGGTATTGGGGCGAAAGATGAAAGATCAGAGAAACAGAACAAGCTAGCCACATTCTTACTCAGGCATGGTGGCACACACCTTTAATCCCAGCACTAGGAAGGAAGGAAGATGGCAGGGCACAGAAAGGTAGATAAGGTGTGAGGAAACAGGACGTCTCTCTCAGGAAGCTGAGGATTTTGTAGAGATAAGAACATGGCTGGCTCCAGGTTGTTTTGTTGGTTTGTTTTTTGTTTTATTAATAAGACCTTTTAAAATTTGTGTTACACTGCTGTGATCCAGCCGCTAGCAGAATGTGCCTAAATAGTTCCAAACTGAGCTACTGGATTCTTGATTCGTCCTTGCTGACAGAGTTTCCAGGAAGGGAGAGACCAGGTTCGTGGGGTAGATGGATTTCAGTGGAGCTCTGACCAGTGTCTTTCCAGTGGGCATAACCTGAAAAGAGGTGAGAGAAATGAAGCGGAGAGACACTTGTGTGTGTAGTTTTTGTCTGTTTCAGCACAGCCACCTTTTTAATTAAATTATACTTTATGAAAAAATAAAGGAAAAAAATCCACTTCAAGTCACAAGTTGATTGCAATTGAGAGGAATGTTGGAAACTGAATCATGTATTTAAAAACGTTTGGGGAAGAGGAGGCAGAAGTGTAAGAGCCGGAGGTGATGGACGACACCAAGGAAACTGTCTTCCAGACAGAACAGGACAGAAGCACATAGGAATCCAGAGACTGGCAGCTTGCATGCAGAGTGCCTGCACGGGTCTAAGCCACGCTCTAGTGCTGGGGGGAGGGGGGGATAGACACAAGACTCCATCACTACCTCAGGCTATCTCCGTTTGGCAACCACTTGCAAAAGAAAACTTAGTGTTTGCCCATGGAGTCTCACCGGATATAGAAATCACATTAAGGGCAGGCCCCAGGCCAAGGGTAGATGGCCAACACAAACTCAATGGTATTTTGGGAGATTTGTCTCATATTGCCTTGTTTGGTCATTTTCTTACCTTACTGGTCTTTTGCTTGTTTATTATGGTTTCTGATTTTGTGTTTTTAAGGTGTGTGTGTGTTTCTTGTGCTTTTTCTTTTTTCCCTTTTTTATGCCTATTTGTTTTCTAGAGACAAGACAGGTTGGAAGAATTTTGTGATATAGGAAGGGAGGGGAAACTGATCAGAATTTATTATGTGAAAAAACTTACTTTCAGTAAAAAATAAAAATGCTCTCCTTCCCCCAACACAAAGCCCTGTACAGTGTTTGCCCCAGGTATAAGTCACATTTTGGGCATGTTTGTTTGCTCATTCAGCAAATATGAATTGCCAGGTTAGGATAAGACTCCTAGATTCTGAAGATACAGAGCACAAGGAAAACACCTAGAGGAAGGAAACGTGTGTTTCTATGGGGAAAAGATAATGAATGGATATTAAGCAGGATTTAGAAAGCGACAGAGTGTCTGTTAAAAATAAAATTGTTAGAACTGCTTTATAACAGATCTGAGGGTACCACAGAGCAGGGCAAGCAGTCATACTGTTTCTTCAGTAACTTGATTTACTGAATTTATTTTTCTTAATAAGACAATTCCACTGTGCCATTTAAAATAACTGATGCTTTTTTTTTTTTAAAGTAAATATTTACTAGTCCAGGCTGGCCTGGAAATTGGGATGTAGTGCAGCCTGTCCGTATCTCGAGATCTTCCCGTCCTTGTCTCCAGTGCACTGCAGTTACAGGCATGTGCAACTGTGCTCAGCTAATATACTTTATTCTTACTGTCCATTTTTAAAACAAAGTTTGCATACAATAAAATGCACAATTTGTAAGTGTAGCCATAAGTTTTGTCCAGTCCTGCAGAATCTCTCTCACCTGCCAGCCCCTACAGCTACTTGGACCCAAATAAACACACAGAGGCTTATATTATTTATGAACTGTATGGCCATTAGATCAAGCTTATTACTGACTAGCTCTTTCACTTAAATTAACCCCTAATTCTTATCTATGTTTAGCCACGTGGCTTGGTACCTTTTTTCAGTTTTGCCTTCACATCTTGCTTCCTCTGTGTCTGGCTGGTGACTCCTGACTCAGCCTTTCTCTTCCCAGAATTCTCATCTGCTCACCCTGCCTATACTTCCTGCCTGGCTACTGGTCAATCAGCGTTTTTTTAAACCAGTGTACAAGGGCATTATCCCACAGCGTTTCCCCTTTTCAGTCTAATGAAAAAGGAAGGTTTTAACTTTAACATAGTAAAATTACATAGAGCCAAACAGTTATCAAGCAAGAATTACAGTTACACTACTTAGTCTATTTGTATTTGGCAAAATTAAAATATTTTATCATCTACCCTATATTTGTGAGCCTATTCATATCTAATTTATCTTTTATTATAACCAAGGAAGATTATAACTATCTAGTCTTCAACTACATCAAAGGCCTCAGAAGGATATAATATTACCTAAGTAAACAGGAAGAACATTGTAGCAACTTCCAAAAATCTAGAATGACAGAGACAGCTGTCTGCCTGGACAGTCATCCAAAGTTCCTCTGCAATGTTGGGGCAGTCACTTATCTCTGTGTCCTGTAGAATATCTGGCAGTTTCTTCTGTGAAGTAGGAACCTGAAGGACCATCTCTCCTTGCAAAGTTCAGTGGTTGCCTTCCTATGGGTCTTGCATGTCCATTTGATATAACATTTTGTCAAGTAGTCCAAGAAAGAACAGTTTCTTGACCAAATGGCTATTTTTGCCAAGAAAAAGATAAACTCCATATGGAGTGTCTTCAACACCCATATTTCTGAAATAAATCAGTGCTGCCAGGAGCAGATGTGTCTCATTGTCCAGAAAGTCTAAGTTTTTAAAACACTTTAAATGCCATATTCTGTAGGTCTTTGAAGTGTTTGAAGATTACCTACCTAGCTGAATTATATCTATGTATACCTAGAAAACTTAACATGACTACAAGTTTGATTATCATAGATGATTAACTATTAATCTGTATTTCTCAACTATACACTACAATCTTAAATGAGTTGCATAAACAAAATACTTTCACAAGAGTAGAAATATACATATAGTATAACAAAATTAACTTTAAATTTGTATCAATAAATTAAAATCTATAGCAATTTAAAACATTTTAAACAAGTTGCTCTTTCAAAGTAGGTTCAACAATCCACCCTTTTATCCTATCATATCTATATCCTATATTTCCATATCATGTAAGTGCCCATAGATGGTGGGGTTTCTCCCTGAGTTGTGCATGTGTTCATGTGGAGGGTAGGTCAGTGTTGGGGGTCTTCCTCGGTTGTGTTCTACCTTACTAATTTTAAGCTACATTTTATTCAGCGTGAGTGCCATGGCATGTGTGGAGAGCTCAGAGCACAACTTCCAGGACTCTGTTCTCTCCTACCATGTCTGTGACCAGGAGTCAACTCAGGTTCAGCCTTGGCAGTAAGTGCCTTGACCCCTGAGCTGCCCCCCTGCCCTAGTGATAGAGTCTCTCACTTAACCTGGCCTCATGATGGGACTACACTGTCCAGTAAGCTCCAGGGCTTCCGTGACCCCTATACAGACATTGCAGCTCTTTACTAGGTGTTGGGGATCCCAACTTGGGTTCTCGCAGCAAACACTGTACCAGTTGAGCCATTTCCACAGCCTCATAAACTGAGTTTAGACAAATGCTGATGGCTATGTATTCCTAACCAGAAAATGAATATTACAAGGACCCCAGGGAATTAATATCTGGTTAATGCCACCCTCCACTGGACATAATATGAAAAAAATGTGCTAGGTTCCCTTTCATGTAGATTTCTTAGAAACAATGTGTTTTTTTGGATACTTGTACTTTGTGTCTTTCAGTAGTTCATTCCTTTTTAGTTTCATAGTGTTCTGTATGGTGGTACAACCATCCTACTGATGTACATTGGGGCTGTTTCTAACAGGATGCTTTAAATAATTATGAACATTTTTGCATAACTCTTGTTAAATATTATTTTCTTTTTAGTAAATAATTAGGGGGAGGTTTGGTGGGTCATGTTTGGTTTTATTAAAACAACTTGCTGTGTGTTTTTCCAAAGTGTTTGCAATTGAATGCTCCACAACAGTGTCTGGGTGTTCTAGTTGATTTGTGCCCTTAGCAAGGATCAGTGTTGTCAACATCTTAATGTAATCCATTTCCAGTGGATGCTTGTTGGGGTTTGGGGCTTTCCTTGCCCCGATGGTGAATGTTGTGGGACACTTAGTGTGTGTTGACCCCCTGATTGCCTTCCTCCCAGTTATCTGTTCAGATCACTGCCCATATAAATCAGAACTTTCTTCCTATTAACTTGTAGAAGTTCATTCTATAGCTCAGGTTAATCCTGCATATACTGTCTTTCTGGTCTGTGACCTAACCTATTTATATTTACATATGTTCATGAACAGATCTTTCTTTTTTCCTTTCTTCCTTTTTTCCTTCCTTCCTTTCTTCCTTCCTGCCTTCCTTCCTTTCCTTCTTTTTGTCTTTTTTCTCTCTTTCTGTCTTTCTCCCTCCTTCCTTCCTTCTTTCCTCCCTCCCT